TTATAATTTCTTTTAAACTATTCAAGTATTTTAAAACGATAACATAGAATGTATTGACAACATTGTTTCCTAAATATCACATTACTTGAGCTCTTATGGAGGAGCTGAACACTAGGCTACCGAGGGCCTAGCTCAGAAAATTATTTAAATTTTGGCTGTCCTTTCATTGAAGGGACTAATTATACACCACGTGTCAGTCTTAGAGTGTTCTATTAAATTAATAAACTTTTGTAACAATAGATAATTTGTTAAGTTTGTTTTGGGTTTTAATAAGGATTCTATGGTTCAAAGACCTCAATGACGAGCCAGACTATCCGATGCGGTAGTAGTATTATAGAATATATAGCAATGTTATCTATTGTAGATATCTATTTCTTTATTTATATCTACAAGAGTTCTTACATTCTTGTACAGCCACTAACACGCATAGCGTTTCCGACAAATCTTTAATCCTAATTTTCACTCTATGCTTTCCTCAGAAAGCAGCCCGTAGCAGCTGTCTAACTCCCAGGTACCTATTTGCTGCTAAGTGAACAGGGGTGTCAGGGTGAAAGAAACTGTCCGTTTGTTTCCGCCTCCGCCGGGAATCGAACCCGGACCTTTAGAACTACGAAACCCAAGCTCTGTCCACTCAGCCGTCAGACCCCTATATGTGAGACTATTGTACTCACCTAGTTGTGCTTACGTGGGTTGAGCTTTGACTTATTGGTCCCGCCTCTCAACTGACATTGTATTCATGCCAATGATCAAGTGTGGTTTTCGTACACTTATATATTGACCAGACCACACACTTAGAAGGTGAAGGGACGACGACGTTTCGGTCCGTCCTGGACCATTCTCAATCGACTTGAGAATGGTCCAGGACGGTCCTCCTGTGCCAGGTAAGTTACGGGCTCACTGGAGGACATAGCCCGTGCTACTTGCCCTCTATAAATTTTTTATACCAGCTCCTGTGTATGGAACTGGAGGATCCAAGTTACGGGCTCACCATAGCCCGTGCTACTTGCCCATTCATCTTTGCTCAAGGACTGAAAACAAGAACAAACAACAAAGTACAGTCAGGTAAGTTACGGGCTCCTTGATAATTTGCAGAACCCGATACCTGATATTATTTTCCTAGGTGACTTCAACTTGCCTAGTCTCAGGTGGAAAATAGCAAACAATAATATTATACCAGGAAATAGGACCTAACCAACCACAGATTAGAGAACTACTTAGATTCTGTGACAAATTTTCACTCAATCAGCAGATATCGGAGCCAACGAGAAATGAAAATATTCTAGATCTGGTCTTTACGAACAATGAAGACATTATCAGAGACATTACGATATCAGATACCACATACTCAGATCACAAACTCATTGAAGTGCAAACGACCATCAATACTCAGAATAGACCTAAAACGTTGATAAAGCTATTCAGTAAATTCAATTTTAATAATAAAAGGATAGACTGGGAGATAATAAACAGGGAACTTACAAACATTCCATGGGGAACTCCTATCAAGTCTGTCTGAAACATGTTCCTTTGAGGAAAGCCAGAAAGAGATCTAACGTAGAAAGAGAACGCAGACGACACTATAAACGCAGGAAAAAAAAATAACGGAACTGCTTATGCAGACACGAATTTCCCGTCAAAGAAGGAATAATTTAAATAGGGAGATTGAAGAAATCGAGCGGAAATTGAAACACTCATATGAAACTGAAGAAAGGCAGTTAGAACAGAAAGCAATTCAGGAAATAAAGAAAAATCCAAAATATTTCTTCTCATATGCGAAATCAAAAGCAAAAACCACTGCCAGTATTGGACCTATTCGTACAAGTGAAGGTTCATACACGGAGGATGACAAAGAAATTAGTGAAATCCTAAAAAAGCAGTATGAGGACATGTTTAGCACTCCAATAAACAACATGAAGGTGGAAGATCCAGACATTTTCTTTATGCGGGATATTCAAACCCCGGTAAATATAACTGATATAAACACGAGCGCACTAAATTTTGAAAAAGAAATTGAAAACATGCCCATGCACTCGGCCCCAGGTCCAGACTCATGGAATTCAATATTTATAAAGAAATGCAAAGTGCCGGTAGCACAGGCACTCAGTATAGTGTGGAGGAAGAGCTTGGACACGGGGGAGATACCAGATGCACTTAAAGTAGCAGACATAGCCCCTCTACACAAGGGAGGGAGCAAAGCATTGGCAAAAAATTATAGACCAGTTGCACTAACATCGCACATCATAAAAGTATTTGAGAGAGTGATTAGGAGTCAGGTCACCAATTTCATGGAGACCAATGACCTTCATAACCCAGGCCAACATGGATTTCGAGCGGGAAGATCGTGCCTCTCACAGCTACTTGAGCACTACGACAAAGTCACTGAGGCATTAGAAGAGAAACAGAATGCTGATGTGATATACACGGACTTCGCAAAGGCCTGCCAGGTAAGTTACGGGCTCACCATAGCCCGTGCTACTTGCCCCGCTCCTGTGCCAGGTAAGAAATATACGGGCTTTTCAAGAGGAAACTAGATTTATTCCTCCAAGGAGTGCCGGACCAACCGGGCTGTGGTGGGTATGTGGGCCTGCGGGCCGCTCCAAGCAACAGCCTGGTAAACTCTCACAAGTCGAGCCCGTCGGGCCGGGCTACTTGCCCCGCTCCTGTGCCAGTTTCGGTAAGATACGAGGGACTCCTCCATAGCGGGCGTGCTACTTGCCCCGCTCCTGTGCCAGGTAAGATACGGGCTCACCATAGCCCGTGCTACTTGCCCCGCTCCTGTGCCAGGTAAGTTACGGGCTCACCATAGCCCGTGCTGCATGGACATTTTGGCGTGAGTAGCTAAATCTAAAACAACAACATGCTTCAATAGATAAATTTTATGTTACGTCGCAATGTCACCAAATAGTGTTATTAAATATTTCCATGTGTATTCCTGCTCAATGGATCCAGACTCCCAGTGAAATAATAAATTAATCACGAAATTGTGATCAGAATGAAGGTATATTAAATAAAGTAACTTATGTTAAGTACTGGAACTTAACTGATTTGTAAATAGATATATAATTAGTCCTTTCTAGGAAAGGACAGCCAAAAGTTATTTTTCTGAGCTAAGGCCCTCGGTAGCCTTAAGATGAGAGTTGTATAATTTGATTTCACTAGCCAAATGTTTTTATTAAAAAACAAAGCTTAAGGTATACTTTATGGTATATTTTTAAAATATCTCAAATTATTAGAATTTTTTTTAAATTAAATTATTATATATTATATTATTAGTATACATTAATACTTGTATTGTTTATGTTTGCATATTTTGTTGCTATAATATCAAATCATAAAAGAAAAAATATTTCTAGAATTCTTAAAAGAAAAAAAAAAACTACAAAAATAGGGTAAACTATGGTAGAAAAGTATATGAATAACAGTCTCCCCGAAGATTTATTAGATTAGATTAGATTTTTTTATTCAGGTAAAGGTACATACATTGAGTTTCATACATAATGTTGGATTTAAAGATAGAGATATTACATACAATACCTAAAGCCACTAGTACGCACAGCGTTTCGGGCAAGGTGAGGTGGGTAAAAAACACTGAGACTAAAACTTAATAGTAATTGAGCTTAAAGTTCTATTACTGAATATAGTAAATTTAAAGATTTGAAACTAATAAAAAAATTAACTTTTGCAGAACATTCCGTAGAAAAATCAGATATAAACTTCATGACTAATTTATTAAAATTTAAAGATAAATGCAAAACTATAGCGGTTTTGGAGATGATAACCATGAAAGGTGGACTTGAATGACAATTACTTTAACATCAACAGATGATGTTCATTCATGATTTATTTATGCATTATACAGTACTTATAGAACACAAGAGCATCTACTCTTAATATTATGAACCTAACTCAGGTAGTACTTATTTCTACAAAACACCTTTAATCCTAACCGGTCCTCATAAATGGAAATTAATCTGGTTGAAGAAATGTGGTGCGTAGTGTACCGCAAGGTTCTATCTGGAGGCCAATTCCTGTGACACAATATTGGTATTGTGAGTAATGCGATGATGATGAAGATTAAGCCACCCAAAAGGTGGCACGGGCATGAATAGCCCGTAAGTGGTGGCCATTTTCAGCCATTACCAGAATCAATAGATGATACTGGAGATATGTGGAGATGTGACTGCAGCCTGCGTGACGGGAGATGTCTCCCGAGTGAGTAATGTAAGAAGGTGACTGATATATATTACAGTTTAGCCACAGTTGAGGAACCAAAGAAAACGATTGTAACACAGGAACGCAAGCGACCGATACTATCATAACAACAGCCATTACCAGCATCAAACATGGCAGACAACACTACTTAAGACTCCTGGTTCATGCTTGACGACGAGAGCTCACCTGCTCCCCCTGAGCAACACGTCACCACATTTTGACCATTGGCTCTCGATGCTGCTGTCAGCCATTCCTCTTCAACGGCCCAGTTCGATACCAGGCTCCCTTGAAGGTCACTGGAAGACGTGTTTGCCCAACTGGGCTTGAGTTTAGGAGGAGCCATCGTGCGTGAAAGTGCCGTTAAGCGGCGACATTGTTCCACTACCAGAGTTACAGGACACCTGACGCCTTATGGTCTGGGGGTCACTGGGGGTCCATAGTCTTCCAGCTGGTTCTCTGTGTGGGGGTGTCCCTCGCCTCCCTCTGGGGGACGCCTCGGATCGCCAAGTATCTCCTCACAGCCTTTTTTTTTTATCTCCCGTAAGGCTCAGTAGTCTTCCATTACCCGCAAGGCTTCCTGTTGTTCCTATCACCAGAACGCTTGGGCACATCCAGCACTAGTGCTCTCCTGGTCCCTAGATCAGCAACCACAATGGCGGACAACACTGCTTAATTATTCTACCCAGCTGCAGTGTTGTGTCTCAAGGAAATCCCCAAGTCACAAAGACAATTCCAGCAGTCATTAGGAGTAGATAACTGCCACGCAATCTCTATGAATCATAAATAAGATGACGAATCCTGACGAGTGCCCAGTATGTGGGAAGAGATTTAACTCTCTAGAAGATATTAAGAAGCACATGGCTGAACATACAGGGGATAAACCTCATGAGTGTCCAGAGTGTGGGAAAAGATTCAGTCGACCTTGTCATGTGAAGCAACACATGGTTGTGCATACAGGGGATAAACCTTTTGAATGTCCAGTGTGTGGGAAAAGATTCAGTCGTCGAGGAGAAGTGATGCAGCACATAGTTGTGCATACGACAGATAAGCCTCATGAATGTCCTGAGTGCGGGAAAAGATTCAGTCAACTTCGTCATGTGAAGACACATATGGTTGTACATACAGGGGATAAACCTCATGAATGTCCAGAGTGTGGGAAAAAATTCAGTCGTGTTGGAAGTATGAAAACTCACATGGTTGTACATACTAGGGATAAACCTCATGAATGTCCAGAATGTGGGAAAAGATTCAGTCTACTTGGAAGTATGAAAACTCACATGGTTGTGCATACGGGGGATAAACCACATGAGTGTCCAGAGTGTGGGAAGAGATTTAGTCTGCTTCGATATGTGAAGATACACATGGTTGTGCATACAGAGGATAAACCTCATGAGTGTCTCATATGTGGGAAAAGATTCAGTCGTCGTGGAGAGGTGAAGCAGCACATGGTTGTGCATACGGGAGATAAACCACATGAGTGTCCAGAATGTGGGAAAAGATTCAGTCTACTTGGACATGTGAAGACACACATGACTGTGCATACAACAGATAAACCTCATGAGTGTTTAGAGTGTGGGAAAAGATTCAATCGTCGTGGAGAGGTGAAACAGCACATGATTTTGCATAGAGATGATAAACCTTATGAGTGTCCAGAGTGTGGAAAAAGGTTCAATCAACTTGGAAGTATGATGTCTCACATGATGGTGCATACAGGCCAGAAACCTTTTGAATGTGCCGAGTGTGGGAGAAGATTCAGAGAACGTAGCCACATAATTACTCACATGTTAGTGCATACAGATGATAAGCCTCACGAGTGTCTGGAGTGTGGAAAAAGATATAAGCACCGTCACAGTTTGAGAAATCACATCTTACTATTACATTCAGGTGATAAACCTGATTTGGCTTAGTATCCTGTGCTGTTAAGAAATGTCTTGGCAAACCCAATTATTTTTAAAGTCTCCACCTGTAGTGTATGTTGGATAAATTTTGTGTATTACTCATTCACACACTTTAGTATTGTATCAGATACACACCAAGACATTACCTTTTCACTAATCCATAATGCTGTTTGGAAACTGTGAGCTTCGTCTTAAAAAATAACGTGTTATATCAGTTGGACATCTTACAAAGGTATTTTTGTGTTCATTATTTGTGTGTGAAATATACTTGGCCATGAAATGCAAAACTCTGCAACTTTATGCAACAAAGCTCTCTGGTATTTAAGTTATATTTTAGTAATATAATAATAATAATAATGCTAATTTATAAAGGCAAAATAAATACATACATTCACACACTAGATACAAGAACAGTGGTGGATTCCTAGGCAAGACAAATATAATGCCTGAGGCCACTGATGCACAGAGCATTTCTGTCATCATCTGTTCTGTAGTCAAAGTTATATGCTCTTCATAAGACCACGCAAGCACCTGGGAAGCTATGATAATAGATTGATTCATTTTGTTCTAATATTATGCACCCTATAATCATCCCTTGGCCAGTAGTGGAAAAAGTTTACAGAGGCACATAATGGGCTCAGGAACTGAACCCCCAAAAAAATTTAACAATGCACATAAAAATCTTGTGAAGCTAGTTATAGTTTAGCTGCACCGTCTCCCCGGCTTGGCGCCTTCTTTTGATAATTACTTATTAGTTATAGTTTAAAGCATAAACTGTATATACTGTATATGTCAGTTTGTCATTTATAGCATAAATGGTTATGAAAGTAGTCCACAATTGTCTACAAAGAGCAATATACATCTGTAGTTGCACTTTGAAATCACATTACCATGATGTATCAATGAGAAAGTTAGTAGAAACCCTGAGGAGGATTCGAACCCACTCACTTGGTACTCCCAAGATAGTGCCCTTGTCTACTACTACACAACACGGTCAAAGGCAATGCAACCTGGGATTCAGCTGAATTCACTAGAAGTCCTGAGGCCACCAACTGGAGTCCAAACCAGGGGTTATAGGTTATCTTGAGATGATTTCGGGGCTTTAGCGTCCCCGCGGCCCGGTCCTCAACCAGGCCTCTACCCCCAGGAAGCAGCCCGTGACAGCTGACTAACACCCAGGTACCTATTTTACTGCTAGGTAACAGGGGCATAGGGTGAAAGAAACTCTGCCCATTGTTTCTCGCCGGCGCCCAGGATCGAACCCGGGACCACAGGATCACAAGTCCAGCGTGCTGTCTGCTCGGCCGACCGGCTCCCCGGGTTTCACACATTGCCCCCCCCCCCCTCGTGTTTTCTGGCTTGTGGTCAAGGCGTTCCCCTCCAAACGCTTCTCATCAATTGCACTATGAAATCACATTAACGTGATGTATTATTTTTTCCTACATCTGTAGTGGACCAGTTACACAGTTACTAATCATGTTTCACACTCATCCAATGGGCAGCAAATGTGGGGAGTTTACAAGTCATATGCATGCACTACTTACAGGAAGGAAACATTGGCTATTTGGCTAAGATTTCTGTAGTACATCATATTGAATGAAATACAGAATACACTGTACTCAGATTCATTTCTTGAACATTCATAATACTGTAGTTATCTCTGATTTCTGTGATTTGTTCATGTTCAATTTCTTAAAGTTCTGATGAAAATTTACATTTAGTTGGACCTACTGCAGCAGGTGGTGCAGACTCCTAGAGGTACTTATAACCGAGCCTAAACGTAGTAGTAGTAGTAGTTGTCATGTCCAGAAGTCTGCAGACCTTATTGGATGACTTATTGGATATTGAGTATGTGGCTGCTCCTGCTTCATAGTACTGTATGATGATAGATGTTAATTAAGACTCAAAAATCATAATTTTCAAAGAAAAAGCAAAGCTTAATAGTTTTTAAATCCCATTTAGGTACTTTAAGAATTTTTTTTAGAAATATAAATTTATCTGAACAAATCCACAAGCGCCTTGACGAAGGTTCACACGTATGCACTGAGTATTCCCAGACGGCCCTTAGTCAACTGTACCACGACATGGTACAGTTAGTACAGAACAGTTTACCCTCATCACGGCTCTTGTGGATTTGTTTATTTGATATATCACGTTATTGTGATTTCTGTGTGTATAAATTTATCTTATATTTATAAAGGCTATCTGTCTTAGCATTGGGTTATTAAGATGATAATAAATATTTCATTAAACTTTTGGGCAAGGAATAGAAAACCAGCGTGAAACGTATTCAATATGACTCCATTTTATTTACAGAAATATTTTACAGTGACTAGGTTGATAAATAATAGCACAGTTGACTAAAGCACATCTGGGAACATCTTGTGCATAGGTTTGAACCCTCATCACGACCCTTGTGGATTTGTTCATTATAAAGTGGTTTTTCATTCTGAAGTTTAGGAAAAAAATCAATATTTTGATTCCAATTAAATAAAGTGCATACTGTATATACATGTATAGTGTGTGTGTGTGTGTATATATATATATTTTTTTTGCTTAAATATTTTGCTTTTCATTTAATTTTTTCTATTACTGTCTTCTTAATCAGGATTTGATTTTTATGTTATATTTCATTATGACTGACATTTATCTTCCTTTCTTTCATGATGAAATGACTATCAACAGTTATCTGCCTTAACCCGAAGGCTACCATCTCTCTAGGGGTCTCTACAGAGACAGAAAGCCGGCAGCTTGTCAAAGGTCCCATTATTGTTCCTTAAGATTTTTTACAACTGGATTTTGAAATGAAGTACAGTAATGTCTTAGCGTTTACGAATTCAGTTGGTATGGAGATCCATAGGTGTATAACCGTATGATTGAAAAGGCATTTTCTGTTTTCAGTTATGCATTGTGGCTTGTTGAGCCTGAGGGTGTTGCCTCTTGTATGTGTTAAATGTGACCTTTTGAAGAAGTCTGGAATAATATCCTCCGGCTTGTTCAGTATTTTCAAAGTTTTGATGAGATCCGCCCTGTCATGTGTGGTTTACTGTGTTATTAGTCCTGTGGCCCTTAACTGTTCCTGGTTCCTGGACAAAGTTCTAGGCAGATTTTTTGTTACTATGCATTGCATTTTGTAAAACAGATGTTTCCTCCTAAAGAGGAGGTCTCTATGCTTGGATATAATAGTCCAAATGTATATGAGTGGCATACCAGTGATTTATTTATTTATTTATTTATTTTATTTATTTGTTTATATTCAAGGTACATTGGGTTGTGAGAGTATACAAGATTGGTGTTCTTACATTCTTGCAAAGCCACTAACACGCATAGCGTTTCAGGCAGGTCCTTAATCTAACAGAGAAAAGTAAAAGTAATTAAAAGGTACATTGTAGCAGATTTGTACAGTTGAATAACTACTACTTTTTTCCTGAAATCAAAAGTTTGCTTGATTATTCTTAGGGTTTGGTTGGCTTTCTTTAACGCATCTCCCACTTGCGCAACTTTTAATGACTTGTGAATTTTGATCGCTAAGTCTTTTTCTTCATCACTCTGGTGCATGGTAGCGTTGTTGATGTGATAGTTGTGCTCTGCAGGCAAGGTCTTGTATTTTTCAAAGCTTCAAAAGGATTTGCCTGTTCTCTGACTGAGTTCATGGACATCTCGTTGTAAGGCCTCAAATAATTTTTGTCTTCTAGTTACAATAGATATTAGTAACATCTGCAAATTTGATGATGTAGTTTGTAATATTCTCATGTATGTCATTGATATATATGACAAAATGGGTTGACCCCAAAATAGAACCTTGCAGTACCCTATTTACCCTATTTCAACAGTCAGATTCGTTTCCATTTAGGATGACCCTTTATTTTCTTTGTCTTAACATTGTTTTATCCATTCTAGTATTCTATCATTTATTCCATGTGCTTATACTGTACTTGACCAGTCATCTATGTGGTACCTTATCAAAAGTTTTAGAGATGTCCATGTATACTACATGTACTTTACTGAAGTCCTTTGTCTGAATAGCATATACACTGTAACATGTGGGTAATTATATTTACCAGTGTTCCAGCATTTCTTTGTCAGACTTTAGCATTTAAATGAACCCAACTTTAGACTTTGTATTATCCAAGAAACATTGCATGTATATGATAGTCTGGACTAGGCCTAATTGTTGCTTTAATTATGCAATTATTAATAAACTGTTGTTTATAAGGGTATCTGTATTTTAATAAGCAATATTAATTTAAAGTATAAATAAGTTTAAATGATTGTTCATTTTCTAGACCTATAAACAAATCATATAGGCCAGATGCAGAAGTACCCAATATCAATTTGATTGGTAGTCTAATTATTTTTTTATGGACGTGAATGAAACTATCATTAATTTATATTTATATAATATTATATAATAATATTTATAAAATATTTATATTATTTATAGACAGTGTAATAGTTTGGCCTTACTTATGGTCCATTAATTATTATATAGAACTTGACAGTTCTCTCTACATACAAGGTACTGTACTCCACTCACTGTAACTAAGAGTGTTTAATAAATAAACAAATGTGCTTTATCCAGACTTGTATGTTTATCCTGGAGAATTCTTCAGCACGTCACTCTGAATCTCTTAACAGACTCCCTCACTTCTTTGTGGGTCGAAGTTCGATCCAAGATTGTCTTATGTAGTTTGGACCCCTTCTTCATCCTTTTTTTTATATATTACAGCTTCTTATCCTCATATTCCAGCTCCTTATCCTCATATTCTTGCTTTTTATCCTCATATTCCAGCTCCTTATCCTCATATCCCAACTCCTTATCCTTATATCCCAGCTCCTTATCGTTAGGTATATATATAGCATCTATATAGCATCCAAATGCTATGTAGTCATACTGGCTTGGGGCTTTACCCCCATAATGTCCTTCCTAGTTATTAAGGGAACTGGGGAAGCAACGAATGGAAATCAAACATTGATGAGAAAGTATTTATGTTTCATAAATCACTTTA